ATTCCGTGTCCCTCCCTTCAAGAACGCGTCTCCTGTTTGAAGTCCCGTCTCAGAAAGGCCGAAACAGCCTGTTTGTGAGGATTGTTTTGATCATGACAGCTGAAATTTACGGTTTGCAGGTGATGCTTTTTGCTCAGTTTGCACAGCGCGTAGCTAATTTTCAATCCTGCGGCATGGCAGCACTTACAGCCCAGGCTTGGCACGTGCGTCCAGCCAAAAGTCAAAACCAGCAATGACAAATCGTTCTTGCCACTTTGCGCTCAGTCGTGTAAATTTCTCTTGGACCATGTCAGCCGTGGTCATTGGGCCGCAGCAGCTCCCCTTTGGCCGAATCAGCCTGTTGTACTACATTGCTTTTCATGCCTTGATCCCACCGAGAAACACACACACACACACACGTATCGTGCACCTTGCAAATAGCTGTCAGCATGTCAGCCGAGCTGTGCCTCATGAACTGGAATAGCATATTAAGCTTGCATGTTGCATTATAAGTGTGCAGCCACTTCAATTTAATGTGTTGACAAGCTATAGTGCATGCATGCCTTCATGACAACTGTATTTATGCTCAACATTAGAATTTGTTGGATGTCAGCATGTGCCATGGTGGTGCATATTATTTTATAACCAGTAAGTTAATTAAATATGTTGTGATATGCATCCCGGCATTGGCTCCAGCACAATTTAATACAGAACTGTTGCCAACCGAGAAATGAAAATAGATTGACACTGGAAAAATATTTAAAGGCGAGAAATCAATGAACAAATTCCGCTAAGCGCTGGACCCATGCCACAAGCCATCCGCAGAGGAGATGCAGGCTATCGAAAAGTTGGAGCAGCTTGTCTGCCTTGTGCCACTTGCAGGGTTCATTGTTGTCCCTGATGTGAGACCGTCAAAGACCAGCATAATTCTCGAGGAGATGTGAGGGACTAGTGACCTGCCCGCGACAATCTCAGACATGCAAGTTCTGAGATCACACTCCCTTTTTACTCTTGTGCGCCAGATGAAGCATGTTGCTGTGAGTAAGGGCTCTTGTGTGCGAAGATGCCAAAGACGTAAACGTCAAGCCCGTGCATATTTCATGCCGTGAAAGATCTCGCAAACGAAAGTGCATGGCTGGGAATTGGAACGAGCCCGCTCCAGTAGAAGCAGCAGCAGCAGCAGCAGCAGCAGCATAACAACATGTTGGGCTGACTTACACGTAATGCATCTCGAAGACGTGTATGCCACGAGCTCCGATGCAGCTTTGCGAGAAGGCGCAACCGGCGATTCAACGATCCAGCTGTCTTTGCACGTGGCTGGGGTGCCCCAGGCTCGAAAGAGCATTGGAAGTGATGACCTGCATCCTTAAATGTAAGCTGTGTCAATGCTTGCTACAATGTATTATGCCGGCAATGCTGCTCCTTCTTGGCAGACAGGCTCTTCGATTGCGCTGGTTGGTTGCCCTATTTATGCGTGATGCTCCATGCAACGGCATCATGGTCTCGATCGTCAGCTCCTGTAAGAGGTCTGGATCCTGGGCCCGACCATCGGAGCATGCTGGCTGCTGCAACCGTCAAGTGCTCACTCATCGGAGTCGCCGCAGTTCTCGACTTGTCCAGACAGTTGAGAACTCTTCGAGGCTGAGCCGTTTTATCCAAGTCTGTGCTTGGCAGATTCTCGGTGTAGATGGATGTGCGTGCGGACGTAGATGCATCAAAAGTCGCGAGACGTGCTAGAAGGCCAGAACTTCTCGGCACTTGGCAGGATTTGCAGACACATAGGTCGAATGCCTGCACGACTGGCCGTTCACGCACTGCGAAATATCTAAGAAGTCCCACTGCTTTGCCTCGTCACGCACGCTGCATGGCTCAAGCAACCTCCACCTTCATGCTGCTTTGATTCCATGTTTCGTTGCGTGCATGAGCCCGCCAAAGGAAGGCCCGTAGGCGGGCTATGGAGCAGGAGACACAGCCACGAAAGCGCCTGAGGACCGAACAGGGAGAGCCTGAGCAGGGGCAACCTGACGCAGTTCTGGGAGCGGCTCCAACCGCGCCGGCGCCTTCCATACCTGGCGGCTGCATGAAAGTGGCGGATGTGTCGGCTCCAGCTTCATCGCACATACCTGGTGTGGCAAGCATGGGCATGCCTTGCAATGGGTGCGGCTGTGGTGCTTCGCTGGGCTCCAACGCCGGAATGCTTGGAATCATGCACCAGCAGCAGCAGCAGTACATGATGCATCAGATGGGCATGCTTAACCACATGATGATGATGGGAGCCCTGATGAATCCCATGATGGGCCAAATGATGCCTCCCACACCCACCGATGGAACACTGCTGGCTACCACGAGTCCCTCATCCTTGCCGGATCCTGCTCTGGTAGCTAGCAAGCTTGACGATGATGACGACGACCCTCGGCGCCATGTGATAGCCTTTATGTTATGCATGCGTCCGAGTCATGCCGCGCTCAGTCCAAGTGGATTGCAGCAGCAGTGGCAGATGCTGCTCTCCAGGCATATGTCAGCAGACCTTTGCTGAGGTGCCACCCGGTCCTTCGTCAAATATCAACCATCCAAACTATCGACCTCCAGATGTAGAGCCAATACCAGGTTGGGGAAGCAGAAGCGAATTCGGGGCTGAGGGGGGTTTGAGGGAGACCTCGTGTCCTTACGCCTCGCTTATCGTTTGCAGCTTTTGGCACGCTGGCAGGTGTGACCGACCGACGATGGGAAGGCCGCATCAAGATGTGGCAGCTAGGTGGAAGAGTGGATGTGAAGCGCAATTCCTGTCGCAGACTTGGCTCGATAGAGCGCTGAGCCCACTGAGGTTTGAAGACAAAGGCTACGGCTTCATCTCGTTCCTCGGACATTAGTTTCGCTGTGCCACCAATCGGCGGGAGCCCGATATGGACCGAGGAATGAAGAGTTGAAGAAAAGATTCAAGGATCTGGATGTCTTCCTGCACCAGAATCAGAAGCGCCACTTCAGGCGAGGAGACCCTTGAACCACATATGGGGGGAGAAGATCCAAATAGTTTGAGAATTACTAGTTAGTATGGCAATGGTCTCGTGTGGGAGCTGGCTTTCGAGATCTGGAACACTGTGGACGGCTAGGGCCATGTAAGAGTCGTGCCAGAGAAGAGTCTAACTGCATCTTTAAAGCATCGCCTCTTCCGGGAAGCGTGGTTGGACCAGTTTTGCGAATCGGATGCACGCGCAAGCACGCTCCGCTACTAATCTTGGTTCAATTCTTTCTGATTTCTGGTTTTGCGAGTGAAAAATTGAAACTAGTTGGACAAGGCAAGCTTCTTTCGTTGATGCAGGGGTTGCCGCCAGTCAAAGTAGTGCTTGCCACAACGACGTGCGTGTCTTGTTATCTGCCACTGCACACACTTTGAGTGCCGAAGGCCTCTTTATGTTTGCTTTCTTTGCAGCGTCAGTTTTGTGATGCGCCTGCCTATTGAGAAGTTGTCGTTGACTTACTTAGGACTTGGTCACCTTCAGCGTGTACCCGAATTACCGGGGCCAGCCGCAGGCTTTGTGGGATCCGCTGACATGGTGCTTGGGATGCGAAGGTTCACACGTAGACTCATAGACAACTTGGCATACCCAACCCAGAACCAAGGCACCTCTCCCGGACCAGTCGCGAACACAGGAGCTCAGACGTATGGAGACCATCCAATTTTGGCCGGGTTCCACAACACCTTATATATGACAACTTTGCCCAAATAGCCGAGACGGAAGTCGATGGTGTCAACATTCGGGCGGGAGGGAGTGGGGGTTGCGCTTGGGGTTCGTTGTGTGACGTCACGCACAGACCAGCCGCGGGTTTGCATGAGAGTGTGGCAGGAAGAAAACGCTCTCTCCCAACTGATGCCGTCCGTCCATGTCGATCACCCTTTTCAACAGCAACTGTTTCGGAGGATGAAAGGCCAAATCAGGACCCGCGGTCCATTGATCCTTTACACTTTAAGCAACATGCTTCGGCCCCTATCTTCCAAGAGGTAACGAGTGGTAAGCGAACTTCCGCCGCGATCTAGTGGTCGAGGTTTCCTGATTTGGACAGGCCACAGAGCTGCGGCGCTGGAAAGGCAGCGAGTCATGAGGAGGCTTCGGCTTGTATTCATCGTTCTGATAAGCAGATTCAATTTCGACTTCCTGACTGCCTCGGTCAGTGAGCAGACCACCAGACCCCTGATATCATGCTAGATCATGCTCTGCGCAGCGATCCGACTGCCGGCTCGACGGGTTAGCAAAGACCAACACGCGCACAGCAACGGTCACGGTTGACCTGCTCCGCTTTTTGCAGGTCGGCTGTAGGGGTGTGCTAAATCTCTTAGGAAGTCAGACTCGATGCTGCATGAGATGCTTCTTGCTAGGCCGTGAATGCAAAGCGCCGGGAAGCTGGGCTACGCATCCGGCGAGCTGTGCCATGGAGGGTGAACAACAGCAAGTGCCTCGTGCCATTGGAAATAGCTGCGAACGCCCTTGTCTCACCCGGGTTGGCACCGCCAGCAGATTGCAGAAGTGGAGCTGCTAGAATCGGCGCGGAAGCAAGACAGCCTTTTTGCAATACAAGGGCTGCTAAAATCTTGGGACGAGTAAGGTCCAGTATGTCAACCGTATCTATGTGGGTTGGCCAACATGGCGTCATGTCACCCGCAAACACCATCCGGTCGCCAGCCCATTCTAGCACAGCCCTGCCAACTCAATACCGACGAGATCATGCACGCGGAGTTTCCTGTCTGCATCCGCCGCATCTCGCAGCAGAAAGAAGCTGTTTGCCTCAGCGTTGGCATTGCAGCGTCACGGGGGCTCCGGCCGTCCGTGCAATTGCAGGAATCCCTGAATATGCTCAGCTAATGAGGCTAGGCTCATGAGCTGCTTCTCTTTATGGCATGATGCATAATCTTCTTACTCTTTCCGAAATGTGCTTCACGAATATCGGCCGCAATGGAATCAATTTGTTGACGTGAGCTTCATGGCATGTAGGACGTGATGCAACGGACCTCGCATGTGCTTGAGGCGAGGCTCCTGAGCGACTGTTCTTCTTCGCCTCGGCACTGTCACGCGGAGAGCTCAACTGAACTGCACAAGAAGAGCATGCTTGATATGCTTGAGATGACCGGTTTTCCACGTAGGACATAGCCGTGCATCTGCCATCATCCGCCAGGGGAGGCTGCAAAAGAGGGTGAGTTTGTCCCGCACGTCACTCAGCAAAACGGAGTCGAGCTAAACCGATCGAAGACTAGAACATGTCTCGTGCAAACTGCGAGCACAGAGACAACAGGCGTGTCAACATCAACATCTCCGACCATTTCATGGTGGTTCGGAACACGCCTGTCGTCCGGAGCTGGGGTGCGTTCGTGGCAGCTGTAAAGTTGGAACCAGATGACAGAGACGCCATTTGAGTTGCCAGCTCCGAGGCACGCCGGATGATGGAAGAATGGCCACTTCGACGAACGACGAGTATCGTTGTGGCAGACAGCCAAAGCAATATTCATTTTCATTGCACCTGAGGTTCCAGCTGCCAACGCGACCGTCCCATGGCCTGGAGTGGTTTCCTCACTCCGCAACTGTCAAGAAGCACAGTCTGAAATTAATGCACGGCTGTACGAACAAAGCGACAAGTAGCCCACACGCATTGCTCGCACGGGCCGTGAGCATCGAAGCTGTGAGGCCGGAAGTCCTGAAACGGACACTCGTCATAGCAGCGCAAGCTGAGGATGGTAACCCTCCCAGTGTTTCTGAGACCCGCTATATAAAAGCCGAACCGCAACGTGCTTTCGGCACGCACGCACCGGAACACCCACGCTGAGATGCACTGAGAACCTCTCAAGTGTCGCAAGTTCAACACACAAATCTGTCGTCACCGAGTTAGAGACCGTTACCTCCTTGGTGCCATGGCGGCTCTTCCGCCGACATCCCCAGCACCTGGGCTGGTGCCCGTGTGCTTGCGCGCGCCTTCTGGGAGCTCCACTAATTAAGTCTCGGTTCATCCAAACAGATCGAAGCTTTCAGCAGCGCAGGTTGCGCAGGAGGCATTTGCACTTAAGGTTGGAATGTTTGTATACCGGCAACATTATTAATAAAGCCTCACCTCGTGGCTCCATGTTCCATCCTGAATCCGTCAGAATGGCGTCTGACGGCAGCCGATAGTTGCAGCCTTCAGGAGGACTGCTATCTATTACCTCCCACCTAGCCACGCTGCAGCTTTGCAGTCGAAGCCGCTCAAGGACGGGTTCTGCATGTGACAGCCATGTCGACTAATTATCCAAGCAAAACAGCATTCGGTGGCTTGAGACGCGAGTGAAGCTTTCGGTTTGAGTGGGCTTCTTGAAAAGCCAGAAGTTCAGGTCCCTGCGGACTGCCCATTGTAGTAGACGCACCGGCATATGGACTTCGTCCCCTGCAGGAACCACACACAGAGGGTGCGCCGCAGACGCCCCTCACGAACTTGGAAGCAGCCGAGGATGGACGTTCCTTGATGTCGAAGTCCGGATGCAGAACCGTCGAATCAGGATGTAACGAAGCCCTGCAAATGCTAAAAAGCCTTGTCGCACGTACGTGCCACCACGTGTCAGCAGCCTCTCGAATTGTCCACAGCTGTTAGCCGAAGCACGGGCTTCGCTGCACCGTCCCAAACACAGCGCAGGATCCTGCTGACACGGCTGACATCCGGGAAGAGTTGGAGGCCTTCTTAGCTTCCCTGCCTGTGTTGTAGTAAGGACTGTAAGACTGTAAGGACCATGCCCCAGATGGTAACTGCTCTGCTTACGGCTGGTATGCAGGATGACACAATCGACCATCTCGGGGAGGTGGTGGGCAGTGGGGGTCGTCAGGGTAAGCCCCAATTTGCATGCCAGATGCTTCTGCTGCTCCCAGGTTCGACTTGATTCCCAAGCCAACGCATGAGTCAGGTACCAGACGAACAAGGTTAGTCTTTTCGAGCTGAGGAAAAGATCCAGAAACATCCGGAAGTTCCACGAAAACAAGTAAAGCTGGGATGGGAAGATAGTAATTAACGGAAGCTATGAAAAGCTGGCCCAAAAGCTGTGAAAAAGTATGATATCTATGGAGAACTGCAGAAGTCCGTCGATCATTCCTGGCTCAATATCTCCTAGTGCACATCTCCACTTTGCACAACGCGAAGCACTTCCTCCACTCGCCATTGGAGTTTTGGGGCCTCCCGATCTCAAGTTCCAGTTTGCTATGGAAGCTGCAGGAAAATAAAAGATTACTTTTCCTTTTTCTGTGCCCAGAGAAGCAATTAATCGGTTTGATGCTGCCATAGAACCCCACCACAGGATGCACGCCCGGAGACACCGCAGTGGCCTTTTGCCGAAGACGCGCAGCACGAAGAGCCCGAGGTAGCCTCGTGGTGGAGTAATTAGCAGATATTGGAGTGCGAATTGTCCGAGCTTTCCCACAAAGTATGTTATGAGTTGGAGGTCGTTGGTGGTGCTTTGAGTCGGGCTCCGTCCAGGATGTACATGTCGCCTTAGCATGAAGACAAGCTTCGGTGTCAGACTTGGTTTGCCGGCCGGAGCCTGGAGTTCAGATCAACATACGTATGTCCAATAGACAAGGCCATTGACGGCTTGCAGCAGCTTCCTTTTCCTGGACTCGAGCCTGGTGTGCAGGAAGCACAGATGCCGGCAATGACAGTTCCCTCGCACAAAGCCGCGAAACTGCAATGTGCAGCTTGTTTGGGTTCGGCCTTTGTGTTTGGTGCACCTGCTCGCTTCTGCTCAAACCATCAGCATTGATAAAGCTGGAGCCCGACGCCGCTTTGTGTCTGCAAAGATGACCTCCGGGCCAACAAAGCGTGCTGGCGACAACGCTGAGCTGGCCAAGCAAAGCAACATGTTGAAATCGTTTCTAGCACCATTCCAGCAGCGGGATACCCCGCCAGCAGAAGAAACGACTTCTTTAAGGGAGCAGCAGCCATGCTGTAGACTGTAAATCTAGTTCGAGTGCACTACTCCTCGTGTGAAACCCTGTTGGGCAAGTAAGCATGTGGTCTTGTCCAGAGGATCCTGGAGATCATAATACCACATGGTGCTTAAGCTTGTCAAAATAAAATCGTTTGCATGTTGTCCTTGAGTCCGCGATGTATGCCACTCACATGGTTTCGACTCAGGTTTTGATGCGAACTGTCCTTTTCAATGTTCGTTTCGAGTAGGTTCTTACGTTTGGCCAGGCATAAGGTCGGAACGACAATCACAAAAAGCGCGCGCACACACACACACGCTCTCACTCTCTCTCGCTCTCTCCGATGTCTTCGAAGTTGCATACTAGGGGTCAGTCCTAGGATGCAGATCCGTGCTTTAGTGGCGTTTCAGCATTGTCCCGTGCCAGTCGTTTGCAGGGTGGGCTTGAAATGACACAATAGAGACTTCTTTTCAGTTCGGCTTGGTACACGAAAGATACCGACAAGTCCCCCGCACAGTTCTCGAAAGCTGCAGTAGTTTCTTGCATGTTATTGCTTATGTGGGTTTCGCATTCATTCTGAGAAGCCTGGACGGGCATGGCTCAGTCTTCGGTTTGTTTCGACATAAACCCTACGCACAGCGGCCACAGGAAAGCAAAGTACAGTAAGCGCCGAGAAAGCATCTTGCAAGCGCATAATTCCACTTTACTCCCAAGCGACTGCGGAGCCTTGGACCTGCCGAGGAGCCCTGGCCTGTTGCTGGACCGTGGCCGACGGAAGTCCAGCAGTTCGATTACGAACAGCGGTTGCAGCTTCTGGGCATCCGTTTGAACACAACCTCTGCCATGTAAAAATGTTCGCAAGACTCCATGGAAAAATGCTGGGTCTGCGCGTGCCGGCGCCGCGTGCGGGTGGCCGGGGGCAGAGGGGTGGGGGTGGGCGGCGTCGGCGGGTGGGTACTCCACTGAAGCCCGGTCTCCTCGTATTGGAATCCGGGCAAAGTGAGATACCGTCTATTGTGACGAGGGCGCATGACCTCTGTATGACCCGCATTAGCACCAGCAGGAGCAGATCAACGTAAATCAAACTGAGGCTGCAGATGATTCAGCAGATGCGGATGCAGAGTTTTCAGCAATACCAGCCTCATGGATCCACTCAGCTTCCGCTGCAGCCTCATCAGCTACCTCAATCCTGCTTGCCGCTCCTCGCACAAATTGGCAGGTTGCTTGCATTCCAAATCCCAAAGATGAAGAGTCTGAAGAGATTTGTGGTGCTTGCATTGTAAGTCGGGGCGATCTTGGGTGGCTCCAATACGGGTGCGATTGGACTTGAGGCAAAGCTTCGACAGTTCATCGGGCGCGTATCAAGACAGTGCCTCGGCCATTGCGATTCGGAGGGACGAGCCACTACCGGCGCATGTCAGCCCCAAGAATTGCGCACGATTACAAGAAACATGTTGCACACGGGGAGTGCCAGCTGCGGGACACTGCACACACGAGGAAGCTTTGGGATGAGCGTCAAGAAAGTGGAATTTCTTAAGTTCCGCTGATCGTGCAGGTGGCAGGGGCTCAAAGTATTTCGTGCCTTGGCGCAGACATTGCATACTGTGCTGAGGGTGTCGGAGAATATGCATGGATCTTCGATCCGATCTTAACTTCCGGATGGGTTTCTGCGTACAAAGGCATCTTCTCATATTGATCCTCGCCTTTCGCATTTTGTATCTGTATTCAGTGCTTTTCTAGCTTATGCTGAGTTTTACGGCAACCACCGCTGACACCCCCTTGTCGCTGTAGGCTGGAGGGTGTGAATCCGAGTCCATCCAGTCCTGACTGGAAGTTTTGGGCTTGCACCCAGCCGGCTTTTGACGACGGCTTGCAAGAACAAGCTCGGACCGGAAAAGCATGAGTGAAACCTGTGCCAGACAATTAACATTCCAAGGCCTAGAAAGCGACGATCACTGACCTAGCCTGCCCATTATCTTGTTTTCGATCCCCTCATGTGCCAGACCAGGATCATGTGTGAATTATTGGCTCGGACCGTAGTGATACGTAGACTGCACGCAGAAAAATTCAGAAAACCTGCGTCTAGTCCGGAAGGAATCATGCGGTCTTCACTTGCAGCACCAGCAACAATACCAGTGCACCGATGCGCACATGTTCGAATCGGCACACGAAAAGACTTGGCTTGGCGTGCGCCTTGGAGACACGCGTGTTATCTTTGGTGACGTGGTGATGGGAGCCGGCAATCGGTCTCACTGCAAGTCATCCTGAGGAGACGGGTGAATTCGGACCCAGC